TTGTAAAGAGAAGTGATAGAGAAGCTTTTGGAGTCCAGCCAGGATTAACCCACTAGAGCTGCCTAGGAAGTGTGTTTCATTTGATAGCCCAGTGGTCTGTTTCCTCCTGAGCTCATGGCAGGCAAATGTTGAACTGAGATTTCCTATATTTCCCCTTATTCTTCCAGGTTTAATTGTCCCAGGAAAATCATGAGTTTTGTCCCTTGATAGTGCCCTGTTGTACCTTGATGAAGATATGCATACCAAAAAGAGCTTGTGCTACTTCACTGACTTGGTCAGGGTGGAGGGATAGCTATGGTTGGCTCCCTTTAATGACACATCTAATGAGGCTGTCTCCTAAGCCTGTCTCCTACCAAAAAAAGCCTCCTGTTCTCAACAATTACTGGTCAATCAAATGTAACACACATCTAATTTCTGTTCATTCACACCAGTGGGCTCCTGGTGGGCTCTTGTATCTTTAATTTGTTGCACAATTAAATGTAATGAGAGAGATCAATAGATGACACGCCATTATTTAGTTCACAAAATGTTTCTTAAATGAGGTGATTCAGTTCAAATCAGGTACAAGTGTAAGTAGCTCTAAAAGGAGCCTGTGGTTGAGTAAAACTCTGCTTCCATTTACGAATGTGTACATCATTCACACAGAGAGCTGATCATCATATGTTAATTATAATCTAAGTTCTGACATGTTTTCATCTAGGGAATCTTTATAACCTTGTTAACAACCTCTTGGGAGGACTTCCATCAGTCACAGCCTTTTTGTCTACTCAAAGTATGTGGTGTCTTGTACAACTCTGTATTTTAAGTGCTACATTTCTTCCTTACAATGTCTGTGCAATCCTTCATGAGTTCTTAGACATGCTTCCTGTTATAATTTGAATGTCCTTGCACATTTACTGGAGGTTGACTTGTCTCTGGACAAAGTCTTAATGAGCTGAAATTATTTTTAAGGTATTTATGAAATTTTGGGGACAGATATACAGATGTCTTGTGGTTCGTTTAGAGCTGCTGATTCCCAGATTGCTTGGGAGCTGCAATTTTGAGGACTTCTGTATTAAGTTAACAGAGTCTCCAATGAAGTCTCTAAAGAGCAGCAGGGAAGGGTTTGTTTTCAGAAGAGTTGTGTAATCTCAACAACAACAACAAAAAAATACAACATGAACCACAAGCCAAGCCTGCTGAAGCACCTGTGTGATGGCAGAGTTAAATCTGCACAAAAGGTCTCACAGAATAGGTAGGACAGCAAAACAGTGTGACTCAGAGCCCAGAATTATGAACATTGCCTTAGACTCAACTCATCATACTAGGCTCCAGGCACATTTCAGAACAGTCATCTCTGGGCTGTAGCTTTGTCAGGAGTTATAAATTGGATCTTTCTTTGGTACATACTGAGATTGCATCAGAAAGGACTGGCCCCTTAATACTGAAAGGTCACAGATATAAGAATCTAACCTGCTGAAGTGATTTCTAATGTGACTTACAGATTCTGCAGTATTATTACATTTATGCAGCAGCTCTGACAGCTCAAGACTGAAAGACATATGGATAATATGAAAACAAAGCAACAAGCAAAATGTTTTATTTTTGCTGAACAGTTTTGTTCAGTACATGATAAATTACTGTAGCAAGTTCTTTCTTCAGCCTGACTTTGTGTAAGTCTTTGCATGGATTTTACTTTGTTGTATATTTATGGGAAATATGTCCCTAAAAAGATGTTACTTGTCAAGTGTTTCCTTCTAGTAGATGTTTTGATCACAACTGTGCTGGAATCACTCTGTCTTTTAGGTCTGAAATGCTGGTATGAAGGTGCCTTGTCTACATGAAATGTTGTTCCCACTTCTACCCCATGCTAGGTCTTGCCTGCAGCCTGTGTTACCCAGACACTGACCTTAATGTTTAGAGTTTTCTACTGACCTTAATTTAATTGCATATTGTTATCCTTAGAATGAACAAGGAAGATAGACCAGAAAAACAAGCTTAGATATGTTTATACAGCAATTATTTGCACAGCAGATTAGGTTGCTGGTATCTTTGTTGCCTTTGTGAGTTTTCTATAAAGAAGAGATTGAGTTAAGTAGGGAAGTTTTGCTACACCTAATGCACAAGTGGAAAAAGATAATATCTCTTGGTGTGCTTGTTTACAGTCAATTCTCATTTACATCAGCTGGATTATCTGAGTGATGGATTTGTCAGTTTTGTGGGTAGATGATCTGCTATCCTAGGATAGCACACTGATTTATAACCAGGGCTTTTTTGATTTCAGAGTGAATTTATCACTGAAAGCAATACAGCTGCTGCCTCTGGAGCAGCTGGCTTCAAACTACAATAGCTTGGACAGATTTGCAAGCTGTTTCCAAGACTTGGTTGTCAGGGAGTCCAGTGCTGGCTACTTCTGTATTTCACAATAGCTCCAGTTCATGAGACTGATGAACTCCAGCAGCCAAAATGGACCAGGCCTCTTTATGAAATGACTGGTTTTGTACAACTTCCCAGGCAATGGTTTTCGTCCAGGAGGATGATTCAGTAGACTGCAGTGTCATATGAGTACACAGATGCTGGTCAGTCTACTGGATCACCTGGATGAGAAGCAATTCCTGTGGGAATGCTGTGGCAGGCATGCAAGGCTGTGTTTGAGCCAAGGTCAGTTTGGCTCTGACAGTGAATACTGCTGATGATGAACTGGGATGCAGGATGCAGTAGGCAAACACCTTTGAACAAACTAGCTTCTGTCACTCTAGTATGCCTTAAAATAGGCTCAAGCCTGCCAATGGGTTTTGTTGTTAGCAAGCAAGCCTTCTGTCTGTTCACTGGCCTGAGCAGTGTGCTGTCTTCTACTCCCTTGCTTGTGGTATTTTCATACTATTCTAGCATTTATGTACTAACTTACAGTTTTCCTTTTCCTTTTTATTTTTTTGTCAAGTACACTGAAATCCACAACTACACAGTATTATAGATTCTGTCCCTCTCACCCCTTTATCTCTCTTCCCAGTCAGTCACTTTTTAATATTTTTCTAAATCTTTCATGCCATTCCTCAGTTGTTTTTCCATCCTTAGTGCATTTTCTTTAATAGGATTTTTTTAAATGTAGGTGATGCCTACTTCATCAGCTGATCTTTTTTCTCATTCCCTTTCCAGCAAATATCTCAAGCCTCTCCTTGTCATGGGTAATCTATGATTGTAGTTGAAATGTTAGCTGATCTATGAATCCTTGGCTAAGGCCAGAGAATTAACTGCAAGCTCAGCTTTCTGTTACTGAAACACATTTCAGTATTTAAACATTTTAAGAACAGTCTTACCTTCTTTTGCCAAAAGCAACACCTGCACAGCATGGCATGGATCCTGAAAAAGTAAGATAGAGGTCAGTATTTTCTTAATATAATTGTTAATTAATTATTATTTCATGTTGTCACATTCTGAACAATAATATAGCAACATGTTTTCCAGGCAGTGTGCACAAAAGGAGAATTACACACCATGCTTTAGAATAAAGAAGGGATGTGCTCTCCCTGCTCCAAAGTATTGTTTTCCTCAATTATTTCTTCATTAGCTTTTGTGGCTGAAGTCTGATCATGCTCAGGTAATTACAACAGGTAATCCCTATCACTACATGGCAAAAACCCCCATGTGGTAGTGTTTCTTTTCTACCTAAAAAACTACCCAAAAATTTGTGGGTAGTTTTATGAGAAAATAAAAATGTAATAAGAAAATTGGATGTGGTGATCACTATTTATTATTGATATTTGTGAAGACTAAGATGACTGAAGAGTAAGGGTATGTGATGCAGGATCCTTCAGGCATGTTGCCATACCTTGAAACACACTGCATTGAAAATTATCAAAGCGAATCCTGAAATGTTGTCCTTCAGGCTTGAAGACAAAATTGAACATTTAAACTCACAGATCATGACTTTCCCATTCTAATATGATGTGATTTCAGTAAGGTCACTGAATGCACAGCAATGTAAAACCAGTATCTGAAGCTTAAGCTAAGCCCAGATGCAGTAATTAATGGTTATTGCTACTGGCAGGGATGAAAAATAAGCAGTAATTGTTGAAAAATATTGTTTTTTAAAAAAATACTTAAAAATATGAAACTATTTTAATTGAAAAGCTGAATTTTAAATGAAATTAATTTTAAGCTAAGCCCAGATGCAGTAATTAATGGTTATTGCTACTGGCAGGGACGAAAAATAAGCAGTAATTGTTGAAAAAAGCAGTTTTTGAAAATATTTATGATGAAAACCCTTATTTTTTGAAAATAGTCTTCCTTCCTCCTCCCTCCCTCCCTCCCTCCCTCCCATAGTTTTCTGATTAGAAATGAATGGGCTTATTTAATCAAAGGTACAATCAGAAAATGTTAACCATTCATGCTGAATTGTCAGGGAGGGCCATGAGTGTCCTGATGTGCTTCTGTGTCCATGTCCATCTTCCCTCTTGCATCCCCAGGACCCATCCCTTTTGCCCATGGCTCATATCATCATCTCCTTGAGCTTATCAGCCCCTGCCCTGGCAATGCTGATCCTGCAGCAAGATGATCTCTGGCTGCCCACAGCCCTGCCCTTCTGTTCCACTAACAATAAGCAGGAATACAAGTGAAAAGCATTGTCCTAAAAAAGGTGAGCCACCATCAGCAAGAAAAGCAGAATTTGCTGTAAATCAATCAGTCATACAAACTGCATGGTGATAGTCTGTGTACATATGTGTGTATTTATTTCAGAATTGAATGGATGTGGAAAGGAAAAGGTAGCCTGTACTAGAGGAATTCAGACTGTATATGCATTTTTTCTTTTATGCTCCTTGCCCTTTTCCAACAAATATACATAAGTATGAGTAATATTAGCTCTGTCACACTTCCCTTGAAGCAAATGAGATGCTGTCCTAGCACTGTTGTTTCCATCCTGTGTTGACTCATGCAGTGCAGACACTTTATCCTGCCCGTGTCTCTGCTGTAAGACCACAGATCATGTTATCACTTTACAAATATAGCATATTAGTATATCTGGAAGGCTAGTCACGCTGCAGGGTTCAAACAGATCTGGCTGGCCCTGAGCTGTGCTATGCTATAAACAACCTCAGTGTCCCACATTGAATAACTGCAGAGCACACTCAGGAGCTCTGGACACTTGTGTTCTTTAGTAGTAGGTAAGTGACAGCTTTGCTGATTATTGTGTTTCTTCAGATGTGTGGGGTCAAGGTGGAAAATGGCAGGAAAAGTGAGAAATAGCTATCAGGTTGCTCCTGTTGTGCTGCGGATCTTTAAAAACTAATGCATATGGGAAAAGTAGTTGAAACAGAGAGCAGTTAGTGCAAGGCAGTATGTTTGGTGGGTATCTTTAAAGAGAGTGAGATTCACCCCGTACATAGTTCCTGTAAATAGATTCATACTTGTGACAAATCCAAACTTTATAATTTAGGAAACCCTTCAAGTTCCACTCTGTGACTCAGTTATAATAAACCATTGCTATTTCATCTCAAGGACATATGTGTGAGAATGATTTTCAATAAAAAAATGGTTTGAGAGGTCAGTCATTTATCTTTGCTGTCTGCCAAAATCTACAGTAGAATTTAAAAAGAGTTATAGAACTTCACTTTCTGAAGGCTACTTACAGTTAATTTAATTGGCACAGGAAATACAGCCTGCTACATCTTTTGAGAACACAGCCTATCATTTAAAGTCAAATATTGTCATTATTGCTGTTGCTACCACAACAAGCATTTATGTGCTATCATTCTATTCATTTCTAGGTTGAAAGGTACTGACCAGCTCTCTTCCTCTGAACAGCAGTTAATTGAGCACAGTTTCAAGGATCAGAGATAGATGATAATGCTTGTTAACCAATGAGGTAGATCATACCAAAGAGTTTCACTCACTTTGCTCTCCTCAGACAGTAGGTAAAAGTGGAGAATTATTCCAAAGGAAGGTGTCCATCTGTCAATGTCACCTGTGTCCCCTATCCACAGATGTGGGAAAGTTTTGTGGGAAAGACTAAAGACACAGCTGTGGTGAGAGAACTGATAAAATACAGATGCCACCTCATGACTTTAAGGTGGAATTTGGGCCATTAGAACTAAAATAACTTGATTGCTGGAGTAGTTGAAAGCAGCATGATCTCTTGCTTATCTATATTATCTACCAACTTAAATTACAGAATTTAATATCCTTGCAATTGGCTATGACCATTTTACTCATTATACCACTAATGATCTTGTATCCAACACTGGAAATAGGACTGCTGTAGGTCAGACATAGGTTTTTGTTCTCCTTCTGCAGTAAAGGCAGGATTGAATTCTTAGATCAATACATGCAAAATGCACCCAAGAGAGAAAAAGAAAATGATAAATTTTGTGAGTTTTTAATTAGTGTCAGTTAGGACAGAGAGTCTAAAATAACATTTATGATGTAGGCATTCACAGAGATAATTTCAGAGGCTGTATCCTCTAAGGCTACATGAAAGGTAAGTAATAGTAGCCTCAGTTCTTAGGAACCTTAAGAAAAATAAGAAGTCAATCAAATATTGTGTTAAAAACCACAATGGATGCAAAACAAGTTTTAGAGACCTGAGAGTGCAATTTTATGCTTAATTAATATCATCTAATTGTATATGAAAGCCTCAATGTTTTGCTCAGTGACAAAGAATGCCAATTTATTTGCCATGGGTCTATGTATGAGAGGTTAACAGGGATCTCTCTAATCAGTTCTTAAAACATGCTTTTAGTTTCCCAGGACTCTGTTGTATGCTACCCAAGACAATTCTTTACATCTGCTGACTACAGCTACATACATAGATTCAACACCTTTACCAATATGTAATACACTTTTGAGCTGTTTTTCCTTTGACAAGAAACAACCTCAAAATGCATGCCCATTTCAAATACATCATCCCTCTTTCAGTCTTAAGAGAACTAGACCTCTCCTCAGCAATACCCAATGGAAAAAAAAAAGAATGGATTTTTGTCAGAGATATCAGTCCAGTGTTTCATTAGCTTCATTGTCAGTGGAAGAATAATTAGTCAGCTCACTGAAGTGCTAGGGGAATACATCTGTAATAAATCCCCTTGCATATGTAACATCTATCATACTTGATGGCAAACATATTAGTGTTACAAGAGTTGAGAAAGTATAAGGAATATTGTAATTCAGCTGCTAATTAATCCATAATTAAAGACCTAATTAATGAATAACCCTGTGAAAAATTGTCTAAAAATCAAGATGTGAAGACTGCAGTGATAAAGAGGACTCTTGTTTGTGAGACTGGTTAATTTATGTCTAGAATAGGAACTGATTAATGAAAACTGTCAGTAAAACATTATGCTGCAGCACTGGACAAAGAGAAATATGCACATAAAAACTGTGGAAACCAAGTTCAGCTCTTGCATATCTGTTTTTAACTTTATAGTGCTCATAGCTATTTTTACCTAAGATATAATGAGTAGGTTAATAAAAAGATATATTTTCTCTTAGCTGTGGTATGTAAACAATGCAAGAGTTATTTATTTGTGTATGAAAGAGGCTAATGTCAGATTCTATTCATAAATGTCTCTTCCATGAAATAGCTAAAGAAGAAAACTAAAAAAAGACCTTAATTCATCAAAGTGTTCATGATTAAGCTCCGTGATACAGAAAGACACTAATTTCTGAAATTAACTACACTGAAAGTTGGACTAATTAATAGCCTGAAAGTGTCACTGTCTGTCTGTGTTTGTTTATGTAGGAGCCAGCTGGCTGAGACTGTACTCTTGAGAGAACAGGAAGGAACATTTCAAACTCCCAAAACATCTGGGCTCATGTCCAGGTGTCAGGACTGCCTTCTCCAGCCCTGGAGCAGATTGTCTCTTTCCTCTAGTATTTATTCTGTGCTGTAGCTACATTTCTTGGATCTCTGGGGACCCAGGCCTTCAGGGGGACACCCGCTGTGATCCATTGCATTGCCCTGCCCACATATTCCCCAGGACCCAGCAATCACATGCACGAATGCATATGTGCTCTGAAACACAATTTATCTTGGATCCCAGACCTCAAACTCTCACTGTCAAATCTGCACTTTTGGCTAGATCAGTGACAGATAAACCAACCAAATTAGCAGGAAGAATAATTCCCTGCTGGTGTAGAACAATAAAAGATTGTTACTAGAAGCAAAACAAGGTAGGGAAGAGCAACTTCCCACTTTGCAGTCCTCTCCCACTCCTCAAGCGTCACAGAGAAGCAATACCCCACTTACAAGCTTGCTCAGTTAGCAAAATGTAATTGTATGTGGTGAACAGTGCCACAATCTCTATTGCTCTTTCAATCACAGCATGTTTCTCTAATTTAATCTTTTCCTCATAACATAAAAAATGTGTTCAGTTGCTATCCAAATGTCAGGTTTTCTCTGAATTATTTAAAAACTTGAGATAAATGACTTGATGATTCTGAAGCACACGGCGAGTGAGCTTATTTCCTAAGAAATTATTTGCAGGGTTGGTAGGAAATATTTCACTCACATTTTCCCCATGTAATCCTGCCAGTAATACTCATTAGAGTGCAGCAAATCTCCCACAGTGGTCATCTGAAAGAAAAAGGGCCCAAGTGAACCAGGTTGTTAAGCAAATTGAAGAAACCAAAACGTTAATAATTTAATAACTCACATTAAACAGCAGAGGAGAGTATACACAGTGCTGCTTTCTAGGGCAACCAGATGCCATGTGAAATCAGGAAAGCTGTTAACAGAGACTAATACTAGCTCTATCTGTAGTGTCAAAACTATGTTGGACTCTTTCAGACTCAAGACACAGGTCTTGTTCTAGAATACCGTACACACACAGGTTGGCTGGCACTAACGCTGACAACAGCTATGTTCAGAGAAATTTACACTCTACTATAACAAAGCCAATGCAGTTTTGACTTGTCACTGGCTGTATTCTACCCACTGCAGAGAAGACAGATAATGTTGGTAAACAGGAAGGAGCTGTAGGAGTTCGGTACAGTTAATCTCGGCAGACTACAGAGTCATCATATCTAAGAATACTTTTCTTGTGCTCCACTGCTTTTCTTTTCAAAGAAGACCTTTCCTTTTTTTTTTTATTTTATTTTTGTAGTATGCTTCTCAAGGTATTTACTCATTGATTGATCTATCTCAGATGCTGAGATAAGTGCAGAAGGGCTGAAAACTGCTCTTTCAATGAAGTTGCTGATTTGAAAAGCACTTTTTATCTGTGGAAGGCCTTCCATCCAGAATTCAGTGTTGCTTTTAGCTTATGTGTCCTTAAACTCTTTTTTGAAGATCGGGTAGTCCATGGCATCTTGTGGTGCAAGTGCAGGTGATGGAGATGAAACTCCTTCAGCATTTAACACCAGGAGCTGCCAAAAGGCATCCTAATTTTGAAACTTTGTTGCCTTCAGTGGTCCTCCATACTCAGGTTGGTGACACTTCTGGAGGTATTGAAAGTCACAAATTTCTCCCTTAACCCAAAGGGGAAAAAAAACAAAAAAGAAAAAGGAAAAATCCCAGTCATCAAATGCCTGTTCATTTGAAAAGGGTTCAGAGGTCAAGTGGAAACAAGCACAAGTGGTCACAAGATCACTGGCTGCTATCAAAGATGGCTGTGGTAGCATCTGTGGCAGACCTGTAAACAAGGGTTGGAGATATCAGTAGCTGAAGGGAGCAAGGGCATTTAAGGCACAGCATATTAAACCTCTCCAGTTTTACTGTAGAGTTGACATATGAAGTATGTGTATATTTGTAGCAACAACATGAATAACAATAAATATAAAATAATAAAGACTATAGACATTACAAGGTAGCTATCTTATTTTTCATCCTATATATTTTCAACACTTTGCTGAAGAGATTCTGTTTTAGAGCTGAATACTCCTACTATTTAAAAAAGAATGTCTGAAATAGATGCTAGAGACCAATCTGCCTACTTTTAGGTGAATTTATACAATACAATAAAATAAATGTAATATAAATGATAAAATAAAAATAATCCATGCAGATACTTAGGCAGATGCTTTTACTAGCAATAATATTTGGCATTAATATTATATCATTTAAATAAAAACATATGATGAGTATCATCCCTAATATGGTGTTTTGCCAGTTTATCCTCCAAATGCTTAAGAGCATCCAAATGCTCCAAATGCTCAATATCATTATACACAT